TCATTATCCAAACATCAGTCCTCCTAAATGAAAAGGAACAGAGGAAGACTTTTGCATAATTTTTTTCATTTTAAAATACTCTGTGCAGTTTTTAGTGATTGCTAGAAAAATCATAGTTATCACAAAGAAAAATCCATAAAGACTTCTTAAAAAGTTGTTTTAAAGCTAGCAATCTGTTAAAAAACCCTAAACGAATGTTTTTTAAACAGTTGGCACCATCTGTTTAATTAAAAAAAGGAAAAAAAAAAGACTGTAGTTAGCATAAGCATTGCTTAACTCAGCAGACCAGCAAATAAGTAAAAAACCATCAATTTATATTTCAATAAAATATGAATTATCTGGATTTTGCCAGAGTGAAATAGACTGTATCATGGTAATGTGTAACTACATTTGATAACATTCTTTAGCGCATATTTCATTATTTTTCAACATCTCTTAGGTACTCAAAAAATACTTATCCACAAACTACATTTAATTCCCAAAACTCTGAGGTGAAAGCCAAGTAAACACATTACGAACTGGGCATCTGCTTACCCAAGACCAACACATGGCATTTATAATTTTGCCAGTTCCGTTACTAACATATCCAAACAGATGCCAAAGGAAGTCATCCAAAGACTTTTCAAAGAATTGGCCTTATTCAGAAGCAAAGCATTAAAATCACCTCATGGATGACACTAACATGAAAACATGGTGCTAAGCTTTACAATGCATAGGAGGGGTGAAAAGAAATGTTAAGGCAATAATACAGATGCTCAGAACTGGAAATAGCAACGTCTTATACACATTGTCAGCTGTTACCAGCTTCTCTTGCCCAAGTGCATAATATACACTTTCAGTGACAAAATAGTTGGGTGCCACCAGTCCCTCTTCTCTCAGCAACCTAAATACTGAGCTCACTGGCAACCAATGCATCCTGTAAAGGCTATTTGGTCTGTCACGTGGTTTTGGTTTTGTTATTATAATAACCAAAACTCAACCATTGACCAAGCCAGATCACTTTCGCAAACACATTCTCACAGTGTATTCTGTGATGTCAGGTAGGATTCAGTAAGGGTAACAAAAACCTAGAATATCTGGAAAACCAGGAAAACCTGGATAATATAGATAGTATAGATGTGCTTGAGGAATATGATGCAGACACATCCACATTGATCTGCGATCCTGCAAGGTCCAAAATCATCATGTTGGCACTGCACTGAAATAAGCCTTGTGTAACTCACCATGCTGGAGATTGCAGTTCAGCATATTTCACACACAACCAGTTTATATGTCCATCAGGTCCAGCACAAAATCTGAGGGCATGTGCCCAAGCAGACCTGTGGTGACATCATCCTGCTCAGGATGCCAAATCCAGGAAAACCTTTTTTGTTCAAGCTCAGCACTGCTGGAATGTTTCTGGACCCCAGCTAGTCCTGAAAACAGCTTACATGCCACTGCACCTAAGCTAGTCAACCATACCAACTAATAAATTAGGTAATAAGGCTTGCTAGAACTGACTACACATCTATAGCTTGACTTGCCCTCTAAACTAACCAGATAAAAGCCCTCAGGGGGCTGGGGGTGCGGGGGGGGAGGTCACTAGACTGTAAGCAACATATTATTTTAATCTTTCAGATTTCATGCTTGATCAGATTAGCCATGGCTAATAGTTCCTGCAGCCTTTTGTTCCTAGCCCTAAGGACATAAACAAAGTATTCCTAATATAGTGCGACTATAGGGAATTAATATATTGCACCAACATAGTAAACATTCCACAAATTCAATAAATGATACCAGTAAGTAGATACTGGAAGTCTGTATTAAATCACTCAGGACTGTGAAGGATGTCATGATCTGGATTTAACTATGAAGACAGAAAACCATGCCCCAGTGTAAAACTCGGCTGACTATGCTGATTCATGGCATCAGCTACAGATGTTGTCTGCTCCAAACCTCTAACTGAATGCTTATCAAGGCAAACAAACAAAAAAATATTGAGCTTTGTTATAGTCCAGACACTGCCCACTGGTCTGACCCTACAGACATGAAGGAGTAATGAAAAAGGCTATCCATCAAAAGGACACTAAAGTCTGTCTGGAGGTGATGGCATATTTTCAGAAAGAGCAGGGTTCAATTTTACTGCCAGTGGGGCACATTCAAGTAGGTGGAAGAAGCCTTGGAGGTCAGGCTTTATTAATATGTGAACAAAGATTAGCCTCCACATCATCCACACCGCATTCCAACAATGCATTTTTCTTGTTTTCCTTTGAGATTTCTAGCACACAAAAATCAACTCATCCTTTCCTCTATAATTTAATTTGTCTTTTTTTTTTTGGACATATTTTCCATTTGAAAGAATCATATTCAAAATGTCAGAGAATTTACAGACTAGCAATGCAACATGGAAGAGAAGATATCCAGAAAAAGGAAGGGAGAAAACATTTAATTCAGGAGTATTTGACAGCTGAATAAGTCATGTCACTGAATTTTGTACCAAGCATAATTTCAAATATCTCTTTTCATGTCACTGTTTTTTTAAAGAAATGCCTGATAATGCATCAAAACAGCTTAAAATAAAAAAGTAAAAAAAAAAAAAAAAAAAAAAAAAAAAGACTTAATTTTAGTTCAGAAGAAACTTCTAATGAAAAACAGTATTCTATTGTGGTACTTCTCTCAATGATTCCATAATAACTTTGGAAAAGAAGTACTCTTCATATATAAAATAGATAAAAAGCTGTGAAAAAAATTATAATACACATTCAAACTTTACCCTTTGACTCCTGGTAATAACATTCTGTCTTCTATGCAGATGCTGCCTATATGGGATCACAGTAAGTCAAGTACATTTGACCTACCGAGCTTAACATGACTGTAAGTGAATCTCAAAGACAAGGAATGCAGGACGTATGATGCTGCAGCCCTGACTGATAACTAAGAAGTCAGTTATAAATAAATCTGGAACAGTTGGGATTGACTGTTGTTTAGCACTTTCAGACAGACATTCAGGGCAACTGGCAGGGGCTTTGAAAGCTGTTTCCTACATTAGAACCATGACAAAAATAGAAGTGAGGTTGCATTCCCTTGTCTTCTGCTAAAATAGATCTTACTCAAAAACATTTTTACAAGTTTGGCAAGGCATAACTAGTCCACTGTCAGAGACAGAACAAAATCATAACTGGAAGTCCCATGTTGATCTACCATGAATAGTTACTTATTGAATTAATAAGGAAAAAAAACAAAGGAAAAAAAAAGAAAAAAAAAAAAAAAAGAAAAAAAAAGAAAAAAGAAAAAAAAAACAACCAACCAAAAAGACAAAAAGACAAAAAGACAAAAAGACAAAAAGACAAAAAGACAAAAAGACAAAAAGACAAAAAGACAAAAAGACAAAAAGACAAAAAGACAAAAAGACAAAAAGACAAAAAGACAAAAAGACAAAAAGACAAAAAGACAAAAAGACAAAAAGACAAAAAGACAAAAAGACAAAAAGACAAAAAGACAAAAAGACAAAAAGACAAAAAGACAGACAAAAAGACAAAAAGTGGAGAGCACTAGGAGATACTAGGGACAAGGAGAAGCTGTTGTTTTTTTTTTAGACTTGTAAGTGAAGGTACAATCAATCAGAATTCACTAGCCAGAAAGACTCTGAAGACCTTTAAAAGTAAAATAAAAAGGGAAAATCATATATTTTACCAACTGTCCTTAGGAATATATGGGGTTTTTGGAGGTTTGGGGTGGTTTGTTGCTGGTTTTGTTTTTTTGTTTTTTTGTTTTGTGTTTTTAAATTCAAGAACAGATGTTGCATAATAACTACTGACAGCAAGGCTGAGTTATGAGAATGGAACAGGAAAGAGGGAGCATGTATGGGTTTTTGTTCTGTTTTTAAGTGCCCCAAATACTGTTTACAGGGCAAGCATTTGTCACACAGTTATCTCGCCTCCAGCACTTAAGCTTCCAGGTAAATTAAGTTGGCTTTTATTTGTGTGTTTTTTACAGTCAAAATATATCTATCAAAATATTGTAGGATTAGCTAGTTCACTGACTGAACAGCCCATTGTTCTGCCAAAATAATCAGTGGCCTTAATGAGCAATTAAGAGCTTTCAGGGTCAGTGAGAACAGAAAATCTTAACACATAGATCAGAAATTCTGTATATAACTTCATACTACTGTTTCAGATCATGAGTGACCTCCCAAACTATATGCAAGAGGCAAGCGTGACTGAGAATAGAATGTATATAGTATAATACAAACTCATAGGACAGACTATGATACAGTAAGAGCAATGTGATTTAGCCGAGTAACTCTCCCAAACAGGTTTCCCATAAACTGTTCTTTCTCAACCAAAACAGGTCTGCATAGTGTTTTGCTGACAGAAATGAAATTGCCCCACCTGCACACGCTCTAAACCACCCTGAACCAAATCAGCTCCAACCTAGAAGCTCTGTGACCATGGTGCGTGATGCTAGCCTGCCCTCTCTTACCAGAGCTCGTTGCTGCGG